GACTTATCAAAGGAAATGGCTCAGTCCATTCCATCCCACACGTGCGTAGGAGTCTAAAGAGTTTGTTATGCTTTCCCTTTCAGCCACGTGCATAAGCCCAGAAGTGAAGAATGGAAGAACAAATGGAGTACAGCCTGCCTACAGACCCAGAGACATCGTTGTGTTTGAATGCGACCCTGGTTACACCTTGAGCGGCAGCTCAGAGACTCAGTGCCAAGATGATGGTAGATGGGATCCTCCTGTCCCTGTCTGTGAAAGAAGTAAGTGTGACTAAGGGTATGTCTACACTACGAAATTAGGTCGAATTTATAGAAGTCGATTTTTTATGAATCGATTTTATACAGTCGATTGTTTGTGTCCCCACTTAAGACCATTAAGACCATTAACTCGGCAGAGTGCGTCCACAGTACCGAGGCTAGCATTGACTTTCGGAGCGTTGCACTGTGGGTAGCTATCCCACAGTTCCTGCGGTCTCCTCCACCCATTGGAATTCTGGGTTGAGCTCCCAGTGCCTGATGGGGCAAAAACTTTGTCGCGGATGGTTCTGGGTACATGTCGTCAGCTCCCTCTCCCCCGTGAAAGCAACGGCAGACAATCATTTCGTGGCTTTTTTCTGGGGTCCCGTCCACCGGACCCGCTCAGCCCACTGCCTGCCTGGATGATCAGAACCCCAGGCAGGCAGTGGGCTGAACGGGTCGGCGGACGGAGCCCCAGATCAGCAGCGGGGTGAGCGGCTCAGCCCGCTGCCGATCTGGGGCTCCGTCCATGGCTCCTGCCAGCTGGGGTCCCGCTCAGCCGGCAGACCTCAGTGAGGTCGATCCGGGGTGCCTGGACAGACATGGCTATCCTCCTCTTAGAGCGCCGAATGGGAGAGACTCCAGGTCCTTCTCTTCTTTAAGTTTCGTCTCATGGAGATTCAGTCCTGCCTGGAATATCGTGCGAGCTGGAGGCTTCTGCCTCAGGCTGCTCTCCCAGCCGGCAGCACCGCGCGGTCACACCTACTCCAGCCTGCCCCTTGCTCCCATGGCTCATGAAGCCTGGACAGTAGTAAGGAGCAGTTCAACTTGTGGACTGACAAATCCAGAACGAAGGATTGCACTCTATGGGCCACGTTGAGATTATTTCAGAGTCCTTTTTTACCCTATAAAAGTCTTCATGAAAATTTTCCGCCGCCCCTAACAAAAATGTTAATTTATCAGAGCAGCTGAAAGGGTAAAGAACCTGGGACTATAACTGAGAGAGAGCTTCCATATTATTTAATTCATAATTGATATAATTCAAAGTAAAATTTCACAGCGCGGTCTGTTCTAAGACTAAAAATGCAGGAGAGGAGTCAGAAAAAGGAACAGTGACCTGTTTCTGCCGGGTTTCAAACCGGTGACATGTCATGTGTTAGGTGAATGTGATCACCACTACACTACAGGGCTTTCATGTGTTAGGTGAATGTGATAACCGCTACACTACGGGGCGTCTCTTTTTTTGCCACAGACTTTGCCGAATGCAGAGGGATGTTTTCTCTAGCTACAGAAGCTACCTAATGCAATGTCTATATCTATGGCCTTCCTGCTCACAAAGCGGTCATGCCCCAGCTCAAGGCTGACACAGTGACGTGGCTTGGGTAGGATCGCTAGCGAGGCATGATACTTTTGCCGTTAAGCAAACACAGCAATTCTTTCCTGGCCTCTGCCCCTGAATGCCTCCATGCATTACGCTGTGCCCTATCAGTGCGGGAGGACTGCATGAGCTCAGAAAACATGTCATCGCGAGTGCGTTTTTTTCGCCTTCTAATCTGCGATAACCTCAGGGACGGAGATGATAGGGGGAACGTAGACACATTCTGGGGGGAATGCATGTCACCTGTGCTGCTGAGTTCGCCACGCTGGCCAAACAGGAAATGAAATTCAAAAGTTCCCGGGGCTTTTCTTGTGTACCTGGCTAGTGCATCTGAGTTCAAAGTGCTGTCCAGAGCGGTCACAATGGAGCATTCTGGGATAGCTCCTGGAGGCCAATACCTTCGAATTGCATCCACACTACCCCAAATTCGACCCGGCGATGTCGATTTCAGCGCTAATCCCTTCGTCAGGGGAGGAGTACAGAAATCGGTTTTAAGAGCCCTTTAAGTCGAAAAGAACGGCTTCGTCGTGTGGATAGGTGCAGGGTTAAATTGATGTAACGCTGCTAAATTCGACCTAAACTCGTAGTGTAGACCAGGGCTAAGGCTTTGATGGTGGGTTATCTTTGATCCCATTGCGTTGAGTAAGATCTGGCAGGGCTGAATATGGAGGCCTAAAGGACTGTGGGATTAGTTTGAGATCTGAAAAGGGAAATGCAAATATCTGTATAGCTATCCAGTGTTTCCCGTGCTCCTCTCCATAGTATATGGGCTTTTCCACTCTCCAAAAAGATCCCTGAAGAACTGAGTCCTGGTCAGCTTTGCCGACTTAACCCCCTCCCAAGTTAAGGGAACGTATGGATGGGCCCCTACCAACCAAGAAATGGTCCCAAAGTGGCAGCATTTCCAATGTAAACACAAAATATACAGTGGAAATAGCCCTTGGACCCTTACTAAGGTGGCTGGGAAAACGTCTGAGGGTTACAAGAAGCATGACTGAGTCATCGTGCTTTATAGGTGTTTGGGGGGATTTGAATGGATGGAGGTCGGTAACTTTACCCCTGATGTGTATTTGCCTCACTGCTGTTGCATTGGGCACGACTCAACACAAGCATGTGGATCTTTTCCCTTCTGGAGATCAGCCTGTATGAGCTCTGCTTCAGTGAAGACTCTCTTCCCTCCCTGCAGTGCTGCAGTGTCCCTCTCCTCCAGCCATCGCCAACGGGAAGCCCAGCGTCCAGGCCTCGGCACTGTTCACCACTGGAACGTCTGTAAATTACAGCTGTGAGCCCAGCTACTCCCTAACTGGGCAGGCATCTATTTATTGTACGGCATCCGGAACATGGAGCCCTCCCCCTCCTCGGTGTGAGGGTGCGTTTATGTTCTGTTACCTGGAACTAAGAGGAAGAAACTCCTACCACAGAATTTAACTCAAAAGACAATGTCACTGGTTCAACAAATTTAACAGCAGGGAATTAATGCTCCTTTTAACTAGAGACCGGGTGAAATAAATGCTTTTGAAAATAAATGTGCTGTATGCAAACTCTGCACTCCTATGCACACACACACCCCACATTAGTGAAATATTAAAAAGCTGCACCTGTCTGATACCCTGGGTACCCTTAACATAAATTAGAAACACTAGCAGCTAATCTCCACACTCCCCTCACACTCACAGACAGACACGCTGTCCCCACCCTTGCTACACGCTGAGTGAAGAGGAAAGTGTGTCTACCAAAGGCCAACAGGCCAATACTGTTTAAGACCAAGGCGCCAAACTCAGGGCCCCTCACAGGGAGCTCTCCCACCAGCTCTGCTCTCTTTCTCACTGAGAGGGAACTATATTCTCGTGGGGGGCCCCTCTGGGGCCCGGGGCCTGGGACAAATTGTTCCACTTGCCCCCCCCCCCCCCCCGGGTGGCCCTGGCAGCCCGGCAAGGCTCGGGGCTCCCCGCAGTGGCGGAAGCTCCGGGTCCTTTAAATCCACGGCAGCCAGGCTTGGGTGGGGATTCAAAAGGCCCGGAGCTCCCCCACCTGCGGGGAGCCCCAAGCCCTTTAAATCCCCCCCGCAGCTCCGGCGGCTGGGCTGGGGCCAGAATTTAAAGGCCCCGGAGCTCCCACCGCTCCGGGGAGCCCAGAGCCCTTTAAATCCCTCCCGCAGCTCCAGCCGCCGGAGCTGTGATGGGGATTTAAAGGGCCCGGAGCTCCGCGGCAGCCGGAGCCCCAGGCCCTTTAATTTGCCCCTGAGCTCCAAGGGCTCCCAGCCACCTCTACAGCTGGGAGCCCCAGGCTGATTTAAAGGCCCTGGGGCTCCCAGCCACAGCCGGTGCCCCAGGGCCTTTAAATCTTGAGAGTTCCAGCCTCTTCCAGTTGAGGCCACACCTCTTCTGGATGAGGCTACGCCCCCGTCAGGACTCCGACAGTACCGATAAGTCCTGTAAGTTACTTTCACCCCTGCCCCAGAAACTGGTAGGGAGCCAGTGCAGAGTACAGGTGCCAAGTGCCCACTGAACAGCATCCCTTGCCGGTGCATGCTGACTCCTTCTGCACCTTTTCAATTTCAGAGGTTCTCTGCATCACCCCAGAAATCGAGAATGGAAGAAAAGTAGCTGGACGTGGACCTGTCTATAGACCCAGGGACACGGTTAGGTTTGAATGTGATCCTGGCTATACCCTGAATGGCAGCAATCAGATTCAGTGCCGAGATGAAGGAACCTGGGATCCTCCTCTTCCAGCCTGCATACAGGGTAAGTGTGAATCTAGGTTGACTCCTGAGTAACTGAGATAATCAACATCTGGTAGGGTTGTGCCTGGAGGCAAAAAAAATAAACGTCCTTTGAATCCTGGGGTCACTTTTCAGCTGTGAATGGGGAACATACAAATATCCGCCCACCCCTAATCTCTTGACTGTGCTCGTCACTGTGATAGCTGATCGCCTGCATCCTGCCCTGCCCTCCTGACAGACAGAGATCTGGCAATGGTCTGTCTCACTGAGCGTCCTAAAGGTGTAATTGGAAACACAAATCAGCAGAACTCTCCCCCGACTACTCCCTTTTTCGGGAGGCATCACTTCATTGTACAGCATCTGGAGCTTAGAGCAACCTGCACCCTCAATGTGAAGGTGCGTTTCTGTTCTGTTTGCGGCTTCCCTTTACCTCGCTCAGTGTGTCAGACACACACACACGAGGATTTAAATTGAGACCACAAGAACTTTGAGACAAGACACCAATTCAGCAAATTCCACAGCTGGGGACTAAACTTCCAGTGAGACACATGGGCCAAAGTCACTGCTGGCAAGAGGAGCTCCTTTAACTTCAGTGGCTGTGCATCCACTCGTACCATGAATTATGATTCTGCGAGTGCAGCTGGGTAATGTTCATGGTGAAAGAATTGACACAGGTGACAAGAGGACATCAGAGTGTATAAATAGTTATGAAATTGAAGTACAGTAAAAGACTTATCAAAGGAAATGGCTCAGTCCATTCCACCCCACACGTGCGTTAGAGCCTAAAGGGTTTGTTATGCTTTCCCTTTCAGTGACGTGCATAAGCCCACAAGTGGAGAATGGAAGAACAAATGGGATACAGCCTGCCTACAGACCCAGAGACATCGTTGTGTTTGAATGTGACCCTGGTTACACCTTGAGCGGCAGCCCAGAGACTCAGTGCCAGGATGATGGTAGATGGGATCCTTCTGTCCCTGTCTGCGAAAGAAGTAAGTGTGACTAAGGCTTTGATGGTGGGTTCTCTTTGATCCCATTGTGATGAGTAAGATCTGGGAGGGTTGAGCATGGAGGCCAAAAGGACTGTGGGATTAGTTTCGGATCTGAAAAGGGAAATGCAAATATCTGTGTAGCTATCCCAGTGCTTCCCGTGCTCCTCTCCATAGTATCTGGGCTTTTCCACTCCAAAAGATCCAAGAAGAACTGAGTCCTGGTCAGCTTTGCCGACTTAACCCCTCTCCCAAGTTAAGGGAACTTACGGATGGCCCCTACCAACCAAGAAATAGTCCCAAAGTGGCAGCATTTCCAATGTAAACACAAAATATACAGTGGAAATAGCCCTTGTACCCCTACTAAGGTGGTTGGGAAAACGTCTGAGGGTTACAAGAAGCATGACTGAGTCATCGTGCTTTATAGGTATTTGGTGGGATGTGACTGGATGGAGGTCGGTAACTTTACCCCTAATGTGTATTTGCCTCACTGCTGTTGCGTTGGGCACGACTCAACACAAGCATGTGGATCTTTTCCCTTCTGGAGATCAGCCTGTATGAGCTCTGCTTCAGTTAAGACACTCTTCCCTCCCTGCAGTGCTGCAGTGTCCCTCTCCTCCAGCCATCGCCAACGGGAAGCCCAGTGGCCAGGACTTGGCAGTGTTCACGAGTGGAATGTCCTTAAATTACAGCTGTGAGCCCGGCTACTCCCTAACTGGGCAGGCATCTATTTATTGTACGGCATCCGGAACGTGGAGCCCTCCCCCTCCTCAGTGTGAAGGTGCGTTTATGTTCTGTTATCTAGAACTAAGAGGAAGAAGCTCCTACCGCAGGATTTTACTCAGAAGATAAGGTCACCAGTGCAACAAATATAATAGCAGGGAATTAAAGCTCCATTTAATTAGAGACAGGGTGAAATAAATGCTTTTGAAAATAAATGTGCTGTATGCAAACTCTGAACTCCTATGCACACATACACACCACATTAGACTGAAACCCTGACTGATACCCTGGGCACCCTTAACATAAATTAGAAACACTAGCAACTAATCTCCACACTCCCCTCACACTCACAGACACGCTATGCCCACCCTTGCTGCACACTGAGTGAAGAGTAAAGTGTGTCCCCGAAGGCCAACAGGCCAGTACTGTTTAAAACAAGGGGCCAATCTGAGAGCCCCTCACAGGGAGCTCTCCCGCCAGCCCTGCTCTCACTGTCACTGAGAGGGAACCATCTGGGGCCTCTATTCACCAAGAGAGGAGCAGTATGGTACCCGTGGGATGTGGTTTTAGGCAGGCTAGCACTAAAGTGTTTGCATTTTAGAGGTCAAAATCAACACCATAAACTCTCCCACCAGTCCACAGCACAGGTGCCAAGCGCCCACTGAACAGCACAGCTTGACAGTGCATGCTGACTCCTTCTGCACCTTTTCAGTTTCAGAGGTTCTCTGCATCGCCCCAGAAATCCAGAATGGAAGAAAAGTTGCTGGACATGGACCTGTCTATCGACCCAGGGATACAGTTGCGTTTGAATGTGATCCTGGCTACACCCTGAATGGCAGCCTTCAGATTCAGTGCCGAGATGAAGGAACCTGGGATCCTCCTGTTCCAACCTGCGCACAGGGTAAGTGTGAATCAAGTCTGTTTCCTGAGTAACTGAGATCGAAGCTGAAGTCTGAGACCCTCTGCCTGGAGGTGAAGCCAAATCCTGAGTCCCACCGCCCGGGGCCGAAGCCCGAGGGCTTCAGCCCTGGGTGGCTGGGCTCAGATCACAGGCCCCCTACCTGGAGCTGAAGCTCTTGAGCTTTTGCTCCCCCGCCCAGGGCACTGGGGCTCATGCTTTGGCTAATCCAGTCTGGATCTGTCCTGCCCGCTGCTCACCTCAAATCAAGAGACTTCACAGATTGGTTTGAGGGGAGAGGTGGACGGTCCCAATACATAGTAACAGACCTAGAGAATAAGAAATGAACCAGGTTGGGGCCAGTGCTGGCAGGGCTCTGAGAGCAGTGGGGATGCCAGGTGAGTAACTTTGTCCCTTCTGTGTGCTGCAATCCTTGTGCTGTCCCACAATGTGTTGGGGGTCAGGATTCCTCAAACTGCACCAGCTGTCAGAAGTGACCCAAGTTGGCAAGAGCCATGGGTCTGCCTGAGGGGAATTTCTTACCTCTACTTAAAGCTAAAAGCAGAGCACTTTTATCTTCCTCTGCTCAGGATCCTCGTGTCTGTCCCATCTTGAAATGGGAACTGGAAGTGATTTAGAAGATGATATTCAGTAACTTCTTGGTCCACTGCAGCTTTTGCAGGTACTTCTGCTTCCGCAGCTGAATTCAACAATTAACTTGAAATTCATATCAATTATGAGCAGTCCTTCCAGTAACTACACAGGCTTTTCACTCTTCCTTTGCATGTGGAATACGACCCTCTAGTTCCTGTATGTGGAATAATCATGGAACCATTTTTTGTTTTCCCCCATCACACTGGTCTTTCAGTCAAGCTCTTTTCTATAATGGGGTGGGGTTGAGATTGTTACAAATCAGTAAAAGATTCAGAAAAGCAATAGGCGGTTAGGACTTCAATGTAACACACTGAATAGTGAGCCTAAATTGTCCAGTGATTTTTGGTTGCCCAACTTGAGATGCTTTAAAGGAGCCTGATATTTTTTTCTGAGTGATGAGTGTCTGTAAATTACCATTGTGATTCTGGCTCCTCCCTTTTTGGGGAGGCATGACTTCACCGTACATTATCTGGAGCTTGAAACTGCCTCCTCCCTCAATGTGAAGATGCGTTTCTGTTCTGTTTGTGGCTTCCCTTTGCCTCGCTTGGTGAGTCAGACACACACGAGGATTTAAATTGAGACCGTGAGAACTTTGAGACAGCCACCAATTCAGCAAATTTCACAGCTATGGACTAAACCTCCAGTCAAACACACAGGCCAAAGTCACTGCTGGCGAGAAGAGCTCCTTTAACTTCAGTGGCTTTGCATCCACATGTATCCCCATGTCAGGGTTCCTTCCCCACTGTGAACTCTGGGGTACAGATGTGGGGACCCACATGAAAGACCCCCTAAGCTTATTTTTACCAACTTAAGTTAAAACTTTCCCAAGGCACAAGTTCCACCTTGTCCTTGATCGCTGCCACCACCAAGTGATTTAAATAAACATTCAGGGAGGGCCACTTGGAGCCCTACCTCCCCCCAAAATATCCCCCCAAATGCCTACACCCCCTTTCCTGGGGAGGCTTGAGAATAATATCCTAACAATTTGGTTACAAATTGAGCACAGATCGAACCCCCTGGGTCTTTAGGACACTGAAAAACAATCAGGTTCTTAAAAGAAGTTTATTTAAAAAAAAAGATAAAAGAATCACCTCTGTAAAATCAAGATGGAAGATAACATTACAGGGTAACAAAAAGATTCCAAACACAGAAGATTTCCCCTCTAGGCAAAACTTTAAAGTTACAAAAACAGGGATAAACCTCCCTCTTAGCACAGGGAAAATTCACAAGCTAAAACAAAAGATAATCTAATGCATTTCTTTGCTATTATTTACTATTTCTGCAATACTAGATGCTTAGTCCAGATATGGTTTAGGGAGATGTATTTACCCTGCCCTGGTTCCTTTGCTGACTCCGAGAGAACAAAACAAAAGACACAAACAAAAACCTTACCCCACAGATTTGAAAGTATCTTCTCCCCTTATTGGTCCTTTTAGTCAGGTGCCAACCAGGTTATCTGAGCTTCTTAACCCTTTACAGGTAAAAGAGGAATTAACCCTTTACAGGGTTAAGAGGGAGTTTATGCTACCCTTAGCTGAATGTTTATGACACTGCATTATAGAGGTTAAAAGCAACACCATAAACTCTCCCCATCCAGTCCAGAGCACAGGTGCCAAGCACCCACTGAACAGCACCGCTTACTGGTGCATTCTGACGCCTCCTGCACCTTTTCAATTTCAGAGGTTCTCTGCATCGCCCCAGAAATCCAACATGGAAGAAAAGTAGCTGGACATGGACCTGTCTACAGACCCAGGGATACGGTTAGGTTTGAATGTGATCCTGGCTACACCCTGAATGGCAGCCGTCAGATTCAGTGCCAAGATGATAGAACCTGGGATCCTCCTGTTCCAGTCTGCATACAGGGTAAGTGTGAATCTAGGCTGACTGCTGGGTAACTGAGATGATCAATATCTGGTAGGGATGTGCCTCTAGAGGCAAAAAAATAAACGTCCTTTGAATCCTGCGGTCACTTTTCAGCTGTGAATGGGGAACATACAAATATCCGCCCACCCCCTAATCTCTTGACTGTGCTCGTCACTGTGTTAGCTGATCCCCTGCATCCTGCCCTGCCCTCCTGACAGACAGAGATCTGGCAATGCTCTGTTTCACTGAGCGTCCTAACGGTGTGATTGGAAACACAAATGAGCAGAACTCTCCCCTGACCACTCCCTTTTTCGGGAGGCATCACTTCATTGTACAGCATCTGGAGCTTAGAGCAACCTGCACCCTCAATGTGAAGGTGCGTTTCTGTTCTGTTTGCGGCTTCCCTTTGCCTCGCTCGGTGTGTCAGACACACACACACACGAGGATTTAAATTGAGACCACAAGAACTTTGAGACAAGACACCAATTCAGCAAATTCCACAGCTGGGGACTAAACTTCCAGTGAGACACGTGGACCAAAGTCACTGCTGGCAAGAGGAGCTCCTTTAACTTCAGTGGCTGTGCATCCACTCGTACCATGAATTATGATTCTGCGAGTGCAGCTGGGTAATGTTCATAGTGAAAGAATTGACACAGGTGACAAGAGGACGTCAGAGTGTATAAATAGTTATGAAATTGAAGTACAGTAAAAGACTTATCAAAGGAAATGGCTCAGTCCATTCCATCCCACACGTGCGTTAGAGCCTAAAGGGTTTGTTATGCTTTCCCTTTCAGTGACGTGCATAAGCCCAGAAGTGGAGAATGGCAGAACAAATGGGGTACTACAGCCTGCCTACAGACCCAGAGACATCGTTGTGTTTGAATGTGACCCTGGTTACACCTTAAGCGGCAGCCCCGAGACTCAGTGCCAAAATGATGGTAGATGGGATCCTCCTGTCCCTGTCTGTGAAAGAAGTGAGTGTGACTAAGGCTTTGATGGTGGGTTATCTTTGATCCCATTGTGATGAGTAAGTTCTGACAGGGCTCAGTATTGAGTCCAAAAGGACTGTGGGATTAGTTTCAGATCTGAAAAGGGAAATGCAAATATCTGTGTAGCTATCCCAGTGTTTCCCATGCTCCTCTCCATAGTATCTGGGCTTTTCCACTCTCCAAAAATATTCCTGAAGAACTGAGTCCTGGTCAGCTTTGCCGACTTAACCCCCCTCCCAAGTTAAGGGAATTTATGGATGGCCCCTACCAACCAAGAAATAGTCCCAAAGTAGCAGCATTTCCAATGTAAACAGAAAATATACAGTGGAAATAGCCCTTGCACCCCTACTAAGGCAGCTGGCAAAAAGTCTGGGGGTTACAAGAAGCATGACTGAGTCATCGTGCTTTATAGGTATTTGGTGGGATGTGACTGGATGGAGGTCGGTAACTTTACCCCCGATGTGTATTTGCCTCACTACTGTTGCGTTGGGCACGACTCAACACAAGCACGTGGATTTTTTCCCTTCTGGAGATCAGCCTGTATGAGCTCTGCTTCAGTGAAGACTCTCTTCCCTCCCTGCAGTGCTGCAGTGTCCCTCTCCTCCAGCCATCGCCAATGGGAAGCCCAGTGGCCAGGACTTGGCAGTGTTCACCAGTGGAATGTCTGTAAATTACAGCTGTGAGCCCGGCTACTCCCTAACTGGGCAGGCATCTATTTATTGTACGGCATCCGGAACGTGGAGCCCTCCCCCTCCTCGATGTGAAGGTGCGTTTATGTTCTGTTACCTAGAACTAAGAGGAAGAAGCTCCTACCACAGGATTTAACTCAAAACACAGGGTCACCAGTGCAACAAATTTAATAGCAGGGAATTAAAGCTCCATTTAAATAGAGACAGAGTGAAATAAATGCTTTTGAAAATAAATGTACTGTATGCAAACTCTGCACTCCTATGCACACACACACCCCACATTAGTGAAATATTAAAAAGCTGCACCTGTCTGATACCCTGGGCACCCTTAACATAAATTAGAAACACTAGCAGCTAATCTCCACGCTCCCCTCACACTCACAGACAGACACGCTATCCCCATCCTTGCTACACGCTGAGTGAAGTGGAAAATGTGTCCCCCAAAAGCCAAAAGGCCAGTACTGTTTAAGACCAAAGCACCAAACTGAGGGCCCCTCACAGGGAGCTCTCCCGCCCGCCCTGCTCTCTCTCTCACTGAGAAGGAACCATCTGGGGCCTCTGTTCACCACGAAAGGACAAGTATGATACCCGTGGGATGTGGTTTTAGGCAGGCTAGCACTAAAGAGTTTGCATTTTAGAGGTTAAAAGCAACACCATCGACTCTCCCCAGCCAGTCCACAGCACAGGTGCCAAGCGCCCACTGAACAGCCCCACTTGCCGGGCAGGCTGATGTCTTCTGCACCTTTTCAATTTCAGAGGTTGTCTGCATCACTCCAGAAATCCAGCATGGAAGAAAAGTAGCTGGACGTGGTCCTGTCTATAGACCCAGGGACACGGTTAGGTTTGAATGTGATCCTGGCTACGCTCTGAATGGCAGCCGTCAGATTCAGTGCCGAGATGACAGAACCTGGGATCCTCCTGTTCCAGTCTGCATACAGGGTAAGTGTGAATCTAAGTTGACTGCTGGGTAGCTGAGATGATCAATATCTGGTAGGGTTGTGCCTGGAGGCTAAAAAATAAACTTCCTTTGCATCCTGGGGTCACTTTTCAGCTGTGAATGGGGAACATACAAATATCCGCCCACCCCCTTATCTCTTGACTGTGCTCGTCACTATGATAGCTGATCGCCTGCATCCTGCCCTACTCTCCTGACAGACAGAGATCTGGCAATGCTCTGTCTCACTGAGCGCCCTAAAGGTGTGAATGGAAACACAAATCAACAAAACTCATCCCCCTCTCAACAAATTCTATTTTGAATTCTTAAGGCAATCAAGGGAAATTTGTAGGTACAGAAAAGTAGCAGATTGGGAAAATCTGAGTTTGTGGGTGAAGGGGGATCTAGGTAGGTGATATTTAATCTTTTTTGGATGTGTTGCATCACCAGTGCAATGGAGGGTTTGACATAACACATGCATCCTGGGCTTTCCCCCCTCCTGCAGACCAGCCTATTTTAAGCTCTTCTTAAACAGCATTCTTCCCCTCTCCCCCATTAGCGTTGCCATGTCCCCCACCTACGGTCATTGTCAAAGGGAAGCACAATGCCAAGCCATTGGCAACTTTCCCCAGTGGAACATATGTGAATTACAGCTGTGAACCCGGCTATGCCCTCCGTGGAGAGGCTTCGATCTATTGTACCACATCTGGAACTTGGAGCCACCCTTCTCCTCTATGTGAAGGTGAATGCATTTTCGGTTGGCTTCTTCCCTTTGGCTGTAGGTGTGTCAGTCACTCAACAGGTTTTAAAGCGAGAGAAAGAATGTTCAGACACACCAGCTAATGTAACAAAATTCACAGCTGGGAATAGATCCCCCAGGGCGACACACAGGGCTATAATCACTGCTGGCACAAGAAGCTCAGTTGACTTCAGTGGAACTTGCGCACTGATGCCGGCGGAGAGCACGGCTCCCTGAGCACTGCCGGACAAGATTACAGTTGAAAGGGTTTATAAAAGTGTCAGCAGGAAGATGGAATAGTGTAGACATACTAATGAAAATGAAGTTAAAGGCTCTGCAAAAGAAATGACTCTATAGACAATCTCCCTCGCAGACTCTTAGGGCATGTCCACACATAGATGTTGCAGTGGTTTAACTAACGATGTGAACCCAGAAACTTGCTATTATTACAAATGCCAATATATCCTTATGGGACAATTGAATTTGAAAATGTAAACGAAGGAAGTGGCAGTGAATGCGTTCATCAGAACAGTCTGAAAGCTCACAGGATGCGACTCTGGGTGTGTAGAAACTGCTAGATGCAATGAGAAGACAGCGCTCATGGTGGAGGCAGTGTGATGAGTGGTTATTTATGTTCCCACGTCTGCCATCGGTGAGGTGTGCTCGTCCTATAGCCTCAGCCGTTAAATGAGAGTAAGAGATAACTTAAGTATCTTGAGTCAATGGGCTGTTGTATCAAAGTTTGTGAAGGGCTTGGGTCCTTTGATAGATGATGCTGTATGTGGATATTAATTCTGTTGGGTATTGCTGAACCTAGAGAGTCATATGCTTTAAGGCCAGAAGCAACTATTGTGATTCTTTAGTCTTTCGCTGACAGTACTACTGAAAACTGGGAGCATCCTGGGAGTATGGCAGGCCAAGGATGGATATTAGGACCAGAGGTAAACAGTGCAGGTGCATATGTTGTTTTAGTTGATTAGGAAATAGAGGTTCTTGTGTCAGCGGTGAGTTTGGCCCAGTGTGTATGTTATTTGAGATTCAGTCTCCAGCTATGGATTTTGTTGTATTAGCACCTTTGTCTGAAGGTTCTCTTTCCCTCGGCTTTAATCCTAGCGTAACACCTAGAAGAATATTTATAAAGCGCGGATCCGCAGTTGTTTCTTTGTAACACGGTTGTTTTATCTACCTGCAGCTGACGTGGTACATACCAGTACAGTAGATATGGTTCTTTTTTCTCATGTGTGTTTTCTTTCTTACTAGATGGCTGTGGTGTCCCAACGAGGTTTACCTTTGCTGAGCTGAAGAGCGAGTATAAAAATCAGTCTTCCTTTCCTGTTGGGAAGACTATAAACTATACTTGCCGGCCTGGATACAGCAGACAGCCGCAGATACCACCCACTATTACATGCCTTCAGAATCGAAGGTGGTCAGAAGCACTCAAGTTCTGTAAAAGTGAATATCTTCATGGATTTTGTTTCCGTTGTTCGATAAAGGTCTTAATGGCAATAACATTTTGCAGCGTGGATACAACTAATGTGCCTTTAAATAGTTAATAGTAACTAGTCAAGTTCTCTAGCTGTGCCGATTCTGGGCCTTCTAAATGCCTTCTTTGTGGAGTGTGTTAAATAGGGACAGATCCCTGGGAATAATTGTAGTATTGAAAGAGAGAAGCCTAATCCTAGCCTTGTTCTCTACCAGAGAAATCGTGTGGTCATCCAGGAGAGCCGGAGAACGGCAGAGTTATTATAACAGATGTCCTCTTTGAGTCAACCGTCAACTTCACTTGTGAAGAAGGGTAAGTTTCAGACTGCCTGAGCTGACTACTTGTGCTTAGCTTGCAGCTGTGGAGCACAAATGGATATCCTCGTATTCCCCCAACTCCTGAAAGCAGTTTACTCTTCCGTACTGCCTGAAGGTGCTGGCTGAGCACAGATGTCTCCTGTGAGTAGGATCCAAGTGACCAGGGCAAACCTTGGAATCTCTTGGATTTTACCCCTGCTTTGACAGGGGAACAGTTCTTCTTCTGAATAACTGGAAATGGCTGCCTTTCCATACAGAGTTGGGTGGAAGGGTTTTCACCGACTAACTGCCCACCTGCCAGACTGATGAGGTGTCTCCAAGGGAAACCCTGCTGGGGACGGTGCCCGATTGAGAGCGCTGGGGATACGGTGGCAGAAGAGGGAGTCACTCGCCCTCTCCATTTGAAGATTAGGACTGTGCTTCGGGGTCTGAGAAACAAAGGTCTGCAGCTGTAGTGCTGGCTTGTGCCCTTGTAGAGCGTGTCAGATGTGGGGGCGAAAGGGAAGAGCCTGTGACTGCAGAAAGTCCCATTGCACAGACACTGCCTGTAACAACAGCTGCCTGCTGAACTCCAGAGCCAGCTGAGCTGAGGTTTGCTGTACAGTGTCTTTGTATTTGGACCTCTCTGCTGGGGTGGGGAGTTACTCCTGCATGGGTTACAACAGTCATGATTGACTTAGTTTATGAATCTCAAGCTAGCCAGACCCCAGCTGGGTCTCCCTGGCACACTCCCTCAAAAACTTATCCATCATGAGAAAAACAAAACCCCTCTCAATCAGGCATAATAATACCCCTCCTGCAGCAACCTGCCAGAAAGTGCTGGGAGAAAATGCTGTTACTAGTTTGCCTGTGGCTTGTGATTCCATGGTGGGGAATGATTGTGCTGATGTGGTGAGGAGGGCTTGAGGGCACAGGAAAGACATTTGGATCCCCTGGCTCAAAGAATGCCAGCTCATTGGGCCTACATAGGATTCTGTTCCATGGTTTAATTCTACAGGGGGCTGGGGAGTTCTGAGTTGGCAAGGAGCCTTTTCTCCTATGATCATCACTCAGTAGTTGGTGGTGTTGGTCCCCACCTGCTGTGGCTGGGGAGAAGAGCTTCCCAAATAACTGAGCTTCACAAGAGAACTCAAACACCAAAGGAATAGGTAACAACTGATAACCCCCTCTGCCTAACTTCAGACACCGGTTGATTGGACAGCCTTACAGACGATGTGAGATTTCTGGCATGCATGTTGCATGGAGTGGTGAAGTTCCCATTTGTGAGAGTAAGTAAATTACAAATGTCCGTCCAGGTACTTACCTAAGTAGGTCATAGCTGTCTGTCCATGTGGTTACATTTCCCATTTGCTTGCCTCACAAATGTTAATTAAGAGGGAGGGAAGAATTATGATCTCCACTTTAGAGAGGGAGAAATGAGGCACAGAGAGATTAGTTATCCAGGGTGATATACGGAGTTGGTCAGTGGCACAGCCAAAAATTTAAACCAGATCTCCAAGTCCCGAGCCAGTACTTTACCCACAAGAGCCCCTCAAGATTATAGGCGTATGTAGGGGGGATTGTACACAGGACACTCTTTGAGGAGAGAATACTTGTAAAGTTGCTATGAAGGGACCTACGCTGTGACCAGTGTATCTCCATCTCCTTCTCCCAGGGTGGCCCTCCAAATTTCCCACAACAATCTGTAGTTTCAAGTAGGAGTAATATAGGCTAGTGCAACAAGTGACATGGAAAATGTTGAAAGCCTAAAAAAGGCTTGAGAGCTGCGTAGGCTGCAGACATTTTTTCTTCCTCTCTGGCCCTGTTTCAGCTAAAGCGTTTCTTTTTCAGAGGTTAGATGCCCAGCCCCACAAATCCAGAATGGAAGAAGAGTATCTGGTGACAGACATGTCTATTGGTATAAAGACAGTGTTACCTTTGAGTGCGATCCCGGCTACACCATGAAGGGTCACAGTCTGAGTCAGTGCCAAACTGATGACACGTGGGATCCACCTTTGCCCATCTGTGAGCCAGGCAAGTGTCAAAACTCTGATTTGTTCGTATTATTCATCTAGAAACAGGTTTCCCTTTTGTCTGATCTGTGAGCACCTCCAACACTAACCCAGTCTGGATCTGTCCTGCCTGATGCTCACCTCAAATCAAGAGACTTTACAGACTGGTTTGAAGGGAGAGGTAGATGGTCCCTATTGATAGGAACATACCCAAAGAATAAGAAATGAACCAGGTTGGGGGCAGTGCTGGCAGGGCTCTGAGAGCAATGGGGATGCCAGGTGAGTAACTTTGTCCCTTCTGTTTTATTGAAATCCTTGTGCTTTCCCACAATGCATTTGGGGGGTTATGATTCCTCAAACTGCACCAGCTGCGAGAAGTGACCCAAGTTCGCAAGAGCCATGGGTCTGCTGAGGGGAATTTCTGTAACTTAAAGGTGAAAGCAGAGCACTTTTATCTTCCGCTGCTCAGGATCCTCATGTCTGTCCCATCTTGAAATGGGAACTGGAAGTGATTTAGATGATATTCAATAACTTCTTGGTTTACCGCAGCTTTTGCGGGTACTTCTGCTTCCTCTGCTGAATTTCACTATTTGTATCAATTATGAGCAGTCTTTTCAGTAACTACACTCACTTTTCACTCTTCCTTTGGAGGTGGAATACGACCCTCTAGTTTCCTCATACTGAATGATCATGAACTAACTTTTGTTTTCCCCCTGACACCGGTCTTGCAGTCAAGCTCTTTTCTATGCTGGGGTGGGGACGAGATTGTTACAAATGAGTAAAAGATTCAGAAAAGCAATAGGCCGTTAGCTCTTGCAATGTAACACACTGAATAGTGAGCCTAAATTATCCAGTGATTTTTGGTTGCCCAACTTGAGATGCTTAAGGGATCCTGATATTTTTTTCTGGGTGGTGGGTGTCTGTAAATTACCATTCTGATCATGACTACTCCGTTTTTTGGGGAGGCATCACTTCACTGTACAGCGTCTGGAGCTTGGAGCAACCCCCAACCTCAATGTGAAGGTGCGTTTCTGTTCTGTTTGCTGCTTCCCTTTGCCTCACTCGGTACGTCAGACACACAAAAGGATTTTAAAAGAGACCACAAAAACTTTGAGACAAGACACCAATTCAGCAAATTCCACATCTGGGGAATAAACTTCCAGTGAGAGACACGGGCCAAAGTCACTGCTGGCAAGAGGAGCTCCTTTAACTTCACAGGCATTGCATCCACTCGTACTAGTGATGAATGGTTCTGTGTGTGCAGCTGGGTAATGTTCATGCTGAAAGAACTGACACAGGTGACAAGAGGATGTCAGCGCATAGAAATACTTATGAAAGTGAAGTAAAAGACTTGTCAAAGGAAATGGCTCAGTGGGTAAACTGCCCATTCCATCCCACATGTGTGTTAGAGTCTAAAGGGTTCGTTATGCTTTCCCTTTCAGCAATTTGCATAAGCCCAGAAGTGGAGAATGGAAGAACAAATGGGGTACAGCCTGCCTACAGACCCAGAGACATTGTTGTGTTTGAATGCGACCCTGGTTACACCTTGAGCGGCAGCCCCGAGACTCAGTGCCAAGATGATGGTAGATGGGATCCTCCTGTCCCTGTCTGTGAAAGAAGTAAGTGTGACTAAGGCTTTGATGGTGGGTTATCTTTGATCCCATTGTGATGAGTAAGATCTGGCAGAGCCAAAAGGCCTGTGGGATTAGTTTGAGATCTGAAAAGGGAAATGCAAACACTGTAGCTATCCCAGTGTTTCCTATGCTCCTCTCCATCGTATCTGGGCTTTTCCACTCTCCAGAAAACTCCCTGAAGAACTGAGTCCTGGTCAGATTTGCCTACTTAACCCCCCTCCCAAGAGAAAGGAACTTAGAGAAGGCCGCAACCAATAAATGGTACAAAAGTGGCAGCCTTTCTATTGCAAAAACAAAATATACAGTGGAAATAGCTGTTGGAGCCTTACTAAGATGTCTGGGAACATGTCTGTGAGTGTCAAGAAGCATGACTCAGTCATGGCGCTATATAGGTATTTGGGGGGATGTGAATGAGGTGGAGGGAATGGAGGTAGGTAACTTTACCCCTGGTGTACATTAGCCTCACTGCTGTTGTGTTGGGCACAACTCAAAATGAGCATGTGGATATTTTCCCTCCTATAAATTAGCCTGTATGAGCTCTGGTTCAGTTAAGGTTCTCTTCCCTCCCTGCAGTGCTGCAGTGTCCCTCTCCTCCAGCCATCGCCAACGGGAAACCCAGCATCAGGGCCTCGGCAGTGTTCACCACTGGAATGTCTGTAAATTACAGCTGTGAGCCCGGCCACTCCCTAACTGGGCAGTCATCTATTTATTGTACAGCATCCGGAACTTGGAGCCCTCCCCCTCCTCGGTGTGACGGTGCGTTTATGTTCTGTTACCTAGAACTAAGAGGAAGAAGCTCCTACCACAGGATTTAACTCAAAAGACAAGCTCACCAGTGCAACAGAATTAATGGCAGGGAATTAATCTCCATTTAATTAGACACATGGTGAAATAAATGCTTTTGAAAATAAAGGCACTGTATCCACACTCTGCACTCCTACGCGCGTGTGCACAGATAAACACCCACAAGGAAAATATTTTAAAAAGCATCTGTCTGAAACCCTAGGCACACTTGATATGAATTACAAAAACTAGAAACGAATATCCACGCTCCCCTCACACACACACACAGACACACAAACCTCTGCCTCCAATCTCTACCCTTGCTACACGCTGAGCGAACAGGAAAGATTTGCACTGTGTGTCCTAAAGGCAAAAGGCCTGTACTGTTTAACGCCAAGTGCAAGGAGTAGGCACCAAATTGAGGGTCCCTCACAGGGAGCTCTCCCGCCAGCCCTGCTCTCACTGTCACTGAGAAGGATCCATCTGGGGCCTCTATTCACCATGAGAAGAGCAGTATAGTACCCTGTGGAATGTGGTTTTAGGCAGGCTAGCACTAAAGTGTTTGCATTTTCGAGGTTAAAAGCAACACCATCAACTCTCCCCAGAAACTGGTAGGGAGCAAGTGCAGAGCACAGGTGCCAAGCGCCCACTGAACAGCACTGCTTGCCGGGCAGGGTGACGCCTTCTGCACCTTTTCAATTTCAGAGGTTCTCTGCATCACCCCAGAAATCCAGCATGGAAGAAAAGTAGCTGGACGTGGACCTGTCTATAGACCCAGGGACACAGTTAGGTTTCAGTGTGATCCTGGCTACAACCTGATTGGCAACCGTCAGATTCAGTGTCGATATGACAGAACCTGGGATCTTCCTGTTCCAGTCTGCATACAGGGTAAGTGTGAATCAGGGTTGACCGCTGAGTAACTGAGATGATCAACATCTGGTAGGGTTGTGCCTGGAGGCTAAAAAATAAACGTCCTTTGAATCCTGGGGTCACTTTTCAGCTGTGAATGGGGAAAATACAAATATCCACCTACCCCCTTATCTCTTGACTGTGCTCGTCACTGTGATAGCTGATCGCCTGCATTCTGCCCTGCCCTCCTGACAGCCAGAGATCTGGCAATGCTCTGTCTCACTGAGCATCCTAACGGTGTGAATGGAAACACAAATCAACAAAACTCATCCCCCTCTCAACAAATTCTATTTTGGATTCTTAAGGGAGTCAAGAGAAATTTGTAGGAACAGAAAAGTAGCAGATTGGGAAAATCTGAGTTTGTGGGTGAAGGGGGATCTAGATAGGTGATATTTAATCTTTTTTGGATGTGTTGCATCACTGGTGCAATGGAGGGTTTGACATAACACATGCATCCTGGGCTTTTCCCCTTCCTGCAGACCAGCCTATTTTAAGCTGTTCTTAAACAGGATTCTTCCCCTCTCCCCCGTTAGCGTTGCGGTGTCCCCCACCTCCAGTCATTGTCAAAGGGAAGCACAATGCCAAGTCATTGGCAACTTTCCCCAGTGGAACATACGTGAACTACAGCTGTGAACCCGACTACGCCCTCCGTGGAGAGGCTTCGATCTATTGTACCACATCTGGAACTTGGAGCCACCCTTCTCCTCTATGTGAAGGTGAATGCATTTTCGGTTGGCTTCTTCTCTTTGGCTGTAGGTGTGTCAGTCACTCGACAGGATTTAAAGCAAGAGAAAGAATGTTCAGACACACCAATTAATGCCACAAAATTCACAGCTGGGAATAGATCCCCCAGGGAGACACACAGGGCTATAATCACTGCTGGCACAAGAAGCTCAGTTGACTTCAGTGGAACTTACATACTGATGCCGGTGGAGAGCACAGCTCTCTGAGCACTGCCGGACAAGATTACAGTTGAAAGAATTTATAAAAGTGTCAGCAGGAAGATGGAATAGTGTAGAAATACTAATGAAAATGAAGTTAAAGGTATTTGGGGAGATGTAAATGCGATGGAGGGGAAGGTAGGTAGGAAACTTTACCCCTGATGTGTGTTTGCCTCACTGCTGTTAGACACAACTGAAAACGAGTATGTGAATCTCATATTCAATCTGTGATCCACTATAACCCCTGAATTCTTTTCAGCAGTTCTACCACTTAGCCAGTTACTCCACTTTTGTAGTTGTGTATTTGATATTCCTTTTAAATTGAAGTACTTTGCAATTGTTTTTATTGAATCTCATCTTGTTGATTTCAGACCAATTCTCGAGTTTGTCACGGTCATTTTGAATTCTAATCCTGTCCTCCAAATTGTTTGCACCCCTCCCAACTTGGTGTCATCTGCACATTTTATATGCATACTCTCCATTCTATTATCCAAGTCATTAATGAAAATATTGATTAGTACCAGACCCAGGGCACTGACCACTGCAGGACCCCACTAGATACGCCCTCCCAGTTTGACAGCAAACCATTGATAACTACTCTTTGAGTACGGTCTTTCAACCAATTTTGCACGCACCTATAGGAAATTAATTTAGACCACATTTCCATGGTTTTCTTATTGAAAATGTCATATAGCAGTGTCCCCCACCAGGGGCCCCTGAGGGGGCCTCAAACAGGTTTCAGGGGGTTCACCAAGCAGGACCAGTGTTATACTCACTGGGACCCAGGGCAGAAAGC